AACGGCCTCGGTGCCCCGCGCGCCGCAGCCGGGCGCGGTAGGGAGTTTTGCACCGCAACGTTAGCAGCTTGGGAACACGCGTGGCTGAAGCTCGCGCTCGTAACGTTTCTGTGACGTGCGGCTTTGCAGCTGCTCATGAGAGTGAAGTGTTAATGAGAAATAAGAACGCATTTCATTCGCAGCACTGCATATAAAGTAGGGGTGGCAGACTTCAGGGCGGTGAACTCAAAAGAGTGCCTGACAACATGTTTGCAGTAGTCGTTTCCGAAAGCGCAAACAAGATGAACAGTTACAGCCGGTTTCCGACATGGAGGCACTTCATGAGCCTGCTTCCAGCCAGGAAATTCTGCTGTTATTAGCTGATAGAAATAAAACTATGCGGATATCTATAAAGTTCTCTCCATCTTCCATTATAAACCCTATCCCTTCATCAACAACTTCACCTAATGCAAAAATTTGTTTCCTACAAATCACACACCAGTGTCACGTTAACCACTTTCATGTGGATATAAGCTTTTCTGAGACAGGGTGTTATATTCCCATTCATGGGCCTGTTCTACGTGTTTTGCTATGGTTTTAATAATCTAAAAACATGCAAAATATTACCTACAGGAGTTGCACACATGTTGAAAAATAAACTGATACACTGTTTCATTTATTTTCCTGACAGGCTGAGCTCCAAATCAGCTGTGCTTAGTAGTTTGAGAAGGGATACAAAACTTATTCCATTACCTTTTTCTGTCTTCTCACGCTGCTTCTACCTAGAACAGCTTTATAAGCGATTCGGGATGTCAGAAGTTGTTTAAAAAAAAAAAAAAAAAGCAGCGTTGCTTTGCTTTATAAAAGTAACGTTTGCCCCGTGATGCTGTGGAGGTCTTTCTTATGGCATCCACGCTATTATATGTGAGTGTATTTTGGACAAGTTCTCTTTGTTGTTGTTATCCATCCAGCACCCAAGGCGACATTTCTAACAAATCAACACCAGTTAAAAAGCCTGGCTAGTAGAAGCATCCATGCCAAGCTAAGGGTAGGAAAAATAGCAGCAGCTTTGAGCCCCATTTTTATTAAAATGAGCATGAAACAGCATGATAAGCCTTTACTCCACAAACTAAGGCAGAACAGGCAAGTTAATGCCACTCAGTACAGGGCAATGCAGAAGTCTGAGCTAACTCTGGGGCTAATAGGTTCCTACCAGTGCAGGGCAGGGCTCTGGTAAACAAAAACGCTAGCTGATAGCCCAGCCATAGCATTCCCAGATCAGCAGAGGATGCACCTCTGAGCTAACTAGCCCCATCTCACAACAGGGCTAAGTTAGCTTGCGTGCATCATCACCCTGACACAGTTACACTGCTTCATTTCCACAGCCCAGCACAGTCCCAGGCTGAAGCTTCCATTCTTTTTGGTCTGTGCTGAGCAACAAGCTCAGGCCACACCACTGCTGAAAGATCAAATGAAAATTTATGGAAAAGGGGTTGCCCAGATGACTTCATTAAGGTGCCTAATCGCCAGAGTGACCTAACACACGTTGTTAGGTAGAAAGCATCCTTTTGGGGCTCACACATTCCCTTTTACAGTTCACCTTAAGAGGAACCTGAGAAAGCATTAGGTAATGTGTAGGGGAGCCGAAGAATACCTAAAGTGGAATAGCTTCCATGACTGGATGGTCTGAAGTAGTTTTTAGCAAATATTACAAGCAAAAGTAGGTTACAGAAAGACTACAGAGCCATGGGCTATAAGGCCATCAAAATAGGTCATCCCAAAATACTGCTTAGGCAGTCAGGCTCCACAATTGTCACATCTGTACCTAGGATCTGAAGAGCAGGCCTTTACAGAAGGCATCAAAAATCATTCTGATGAAAAATCCATGAAACCCAGTACTTCTCAGGGGATCCCAGAAGATTGTAACCCAAGGAACAAGGAAAGCAGAAAGCAGCCATACCTCTTTCTCCCAGCTTCTCTCTGTAACCAGTGGAGCTTAAGCGCTCTGGATCATCCTGTTTATGCAGCTACATGAATGAGACTAGGCAACTGTTCCAACTGGAAAAGACTCTCTTCTCTGTTAGGTTAATTCTCACACAGATCATTGTCCAACCCAGCTCACCATGCAGCTGATGCTTAAGGAAGTTTGATCCGTTACTAAAAACCCCTCTGAAATTAGGCACCTATTCTCTTCCCAGATCTGCCTGGCCAGAATGTAATTTTAAACGCTGGCTCTTGTGGTAACAATTGGCAAAGGGTATAAAATTACCAAGAACTCAAAGGCTGAAGCAAAGAGGAACAGCTCTTCCTTTGTAAGATCTTAGGCATCTCAGACCCTTTTTTTTCAGCTGTGAGGGTTAGCAGTTCTGTTGGCACTGATGTCCAATTGGGTGTGTAACAAATGATCCAGCTTTGACAAAGGTAAAGCGTTAGTCTTGACATACGCACCAGGCATCCTGTGTCTGCCTTTCTGGATGCTGGGAAAGGTAGATACCTGCCCCTGCTATTTCAGTCATGCAAACTCTAACAGCCCTTCATTGACTGTGACAACCCAAGAGAATACAGGAATCCTTAACAACTGGCAGGTGTCTGCTATGACACTTATGTTGGCATTTCTAATGTATCGCGACATGACAGAGCTCTTGCAAAGCTTCATAGGTGTCACTGGTGGAGTAGAGCAGGCTGAACTAGTGAAATACATCAAGATTACACTGGACAAAAGTTCAGCTGGCTGGTAATTTTCAAAGACTGACAATTACTGAAGCTCAACAAAAGGCTCATGGCCTCCCGAGAGTCTACCAGGGAGCCCTAAGGCAGACAGAGGAGGAAGGTTTCCTGGTATGACGGAAACCACACAGTAGCAAGTACAAGCATTCGTGGCAACTGCAAAGGGAGTCAAGGGCAATGCAGACAGGCTTCAGGTAAGGTTTGCCTTCTCATAAGACGCTTTCAAAAAAAGCATTTCCTGATAGTCTACACTCATAGCTAAATGGTATCTCAAAGGTGAGACGCACAGAATTCTGTCACGCAGCCAAGGCGAGAAGCACAAATGAGGGGTAGTGCGTCTCACTCTGCCTTTAAAGGCTGTTTCATTGAGCAGACACTCGAGTGTGGACACAGCCCAGCAATCACCTTCCCAGCCTGCAGGCTGGGCAGGAAGCAGAGCCATGCTTAAAGCAGCATTAAAATACGTAACCTGGGGGGGGGGAAAAAAAAAAACAATCACATTTGACTTACTGCAACTTGGGATAAATTTGCCTGGCTAACAGTTTGCCAAAGATATCTTCATTTGTCCAAATCACAATGGATATGAACACTGGAGAATATCATTTCCAGTCACACTTCAGAGAAGTGCAACAGAAGACATCCAGAACAGACTTTAATTAAGTCATTAAACCACATGAGAAGTATAGCAAAAATGAAACAGTCTCTATATTAAAAAATAGTAAAAAATCCTCATTTATGTGAAAATTTTCACCTTAATTTTGGAGGCATGGGGAGGTGGCTAATAAGGAATTATTCAGTTCTCCATTATTCCTCATTTTAAATGAGTAAACAAACCAACCCTCTCACAGAACAAGGGTCAACACCTGCCTTTTCCAAGCAAAAAGGCTGTCATTAAAACTAAAAGCTGATCAAGGACTAGTAGTGAAAGGCTGAATTTGTTCTTTTCTCAGTTCCCTGTTAAATCAATACCAGTTACACCCAATGGCTGAAGGCAGACCTGAACTCTTGAGGGCTCTGATCCTGCTAAATTTGAACATATGTAAATATTATCCTCTTGAGTAGCCCCACAGAAGTCATGAAGATTATTTCTGGTAGTCTCAGGTTACTGCCAATTATCAGAGTCAAATTATAATAAAAAAAAAATCATCAGTAATCTATCATTTTGCATGTGCAACTAAAGGTTTCGCTTCTACCAAATCTCAACTTAGTCAGGTGATATTAGAAGTCAGCAACTACCTTAAGCAGCTTTCTTTTACATTTTCAAACTACCTGAATTCACATGCATCAAAATCCATCTTTATTTCAACTGGTGCAGCCTTAGTAACGGTAATGGTACACGTAAGTAATAAGCCAAGTTCTCCCATTCCGCTGAAACAAACGACGAATTTGCATAAATTGCTAAGAGGAAAACTGGCCTAACGTATTTGATCTAACTTACCTTTATCTGCTTATTACACCGTATTTGCTAAGCTGATTCTATAGCTTAGTGTCATTTAATGAACACACTAAGATTACTTAATTAAACTGTTAGAAACAAAATCAGGGATTCACAAACTATGGCATTTTATTTCAGAGGCCTTTGCTTACATTTGTACAATATATTACATAATTCTCCATTTTCTGCAGAACCTAATATATATTTTATAGCTTTTTTCTATAAGCTTTTCCTTCAACGTCTGTCAACAAATTTTTACAGTCCTGTACAATTCTGAATACTTTGAAACCATTTTCAATAAAATCAGTTAACCTTAAGCACACACTACGAAGACTGAAAATGCTTTTCTTAGAAAAGTCAAATGTAAAGGATTCTGACACTCTAGCATCTACAAACAAAATGCTTTGAATTCTTACATGTTGTATTGCCAGAAAACAAAGAAAAAACATGCCAGCCCCTATTTCCCCAGCCAAAAGAAGTACACAGAACTACAATCAAAACAGTAAAACAATCTGTACAATAAAGTACTGTGTATTAACAGTGCCAGGTATTAAATAGCTTGAATGAACACTTCCGCAATATACAAATGTCTTACAAAGGTATATAATTAACAGGAGAGAGCTCAGGATTCATACAACATAAAATCAATACAAGTGAAAACAGTTTGCAGTTGGTTTTGGAATTTGTACAAGGCATTTAAAAAAAAATTAAATGTCTACCACTCAGCTAGCTATTTATTTAAAAACAACTATCCTTTTGTGGCAGTGTTCATATCAGCAACCACAAATTATAACCACACACCTCACTCCTCCTTGAAGTCCTCTCAATTGAAGCTCATAATAAAATAAGCATTACAAATGAAATATTTGTTGCTTTAAGGGAAAAGAAACATTTACAAGAAAACACAAAAATATAACTGTTATAATCCATTATGAATAAATATACACTTTAAACTGGCTAAATACAATCTTTATACATTGTTTAAGATTTAATACAGTTTGTTAGCCATTTTCTTCCTTTTTCATAATGTATTTTATCAAAATTAAAAAAAAATACTGATTTATAGAAAAATGGCAAAGTACAGTAGTTTCATTCCAATTAATGGGTTATTAAAACCCAGAGTAACCTATTTAAGCCTAATTCAAACCTGTAAACATTAGTCAGTCTTTTTTTTTATTTTTAAAGGAATCCTCATATTTGGTTATCAGGACTGATGTCAAACATCCTACTAACTGCAGGTTTTGAATTGAATACATGTGCTTGACTTATACAGTTAAAGCCACTATCAGGTGACTTAGCAGTTAAAAAACAATTAGCTTGTACAAATGAAAATAGGTTCAACATTTGTCATAAATAAATGGAAAAATATCAAATGTTCCAGCTTTAACAAAATACCAGGGAATACATGTACAGTAAGCCTTACCACATTTAATTAGGCCAACCCAACAACTGTATGCTTACTGTACTGTCTCTACAGGCAGTGAACAGCCTCCATTTGCCACAGTGGAAGGCCTTCGAGTCACTAGACTTACAATTCCCAGACAAGTTGGAAACAATTATTGCTTGAGGAAAAGCAGTTTGTTGTACTTTTTCTTCATAAAAGTGCACTTAAGTGCAAAGTTAGCTTGTCAAGAAACAACTTTAAATACAAAATAGTGCTTGTCTGAATTTTGTGCCACTGTGCAGTATAAAAAAAAAAGAAGAAAAAAAAGAAAAAAAAAAGTGGCCCTCAGCAGCCATTAAGTGCAAAGTGCTTTGGCAAGTCCTGCTGTCACCTGCACTCAACTGACATTCCATTTTGTGATGAACTTGACATAGATGGTTCTGCTAAAGTTAACATAACCGCAGCTGTAATGGAACTAGAAGAAGGTGATGAGGAAGAAGATGATGTAGTAGCAGCACCTGCAGGGGAAGAACAACATACATTTTTAAAATCTACAAAATAAAGCAAAAAGTGTTTTGCCAGCTAAGAAGGATTAATTAGTATCTAGTGACTCCAGGAACTAACCCCTGATAATTAAAAAGAAAGAAGAAAGTTCTCCTTTCCCCTTCCTTCCCCTAGCTTTCAAGGGAAATATTTTAGAAGATAATTTGGGATATATCTAAGGCATTGCACTTGGCAGCCCTGGTTTGTTGATCATCCAGCTCAAGAACCTTGCCAGAGGAGTATGCTAGGGCTCATTCCTGAGCCACCAGCATTGCCAAAAGTTCCCTTCCTTTCCAGCAGAAACAAGCATAGGTAGACCCTGCCCCAGCATTGAATCTGCATGTACAACCTGCTTTGGGAACTGCGAAGGAACTGTTTTGTGCAGCCACAAAAGCCTACTAGGCACAGCCTATTTTAAAGTCTTTCTTCTTATAATCAGTGTACTGTTAAATGTGCACATAAAGCAAGACACAGAGAGAATAATCCTTTCAATACTATTAGAAGCAGGCGCACTAGAATATTGCCTTCAGCATTAAGTAAAGCAGGAAATGGTTTGATCGTCTCCCTTAGATTCATGAAATAAAGCACTTATGTTAATGGGAGAGCATTAACTAGATGCACAAGCAATATTACAGTAAATTATAATACAACTTGGAAAAAAGAAATAAGCTACTCAATCTTGGATACATCCTTCACTGCACAGAAAAAACTATTAAAACTTTTCTATAAAAAGTAGCTCTGCCTAAACAAAACAAACAAACAAAAAACACCCAGAAAAACACTGCTTGCCTTTTTAATTTTTTTTTTTTCCCCTTTACATAGGATTAAAAGTCACTGGATACCTGAACTATACCTTTTAAGGATCATAAAATATTTGTATACAGCTTTTTCTGTTTTGAAAAGGACTCCTAAGGGCACGCATCTTCCTCAAAACTATCCAAACCTTATCAACACCAGCCATGATGACCTGTGATTTACCCTTCTAAAAGTAAAATGTAGCTCTCAGCACTTACTTTCCCGTTCCTTTTTCTTTAAGCGCTTTCTTCTTCGATCAATGGAAGCCACTTCAGATTTTAAGGACAGGTAGTGTTTCCTGATTTCCTGCAATTTTTCTTGAAGAACTGTTATGCGCTCTGCACTTGTCAAATTTTCCAAGTCAGCTGCAAGTTAAACAATGTCTGTTAATTGTTGTATTGCAGTGTTTCTAAAAACTTCTGAGTTTCAATGATGCGGAAAGTGCTCAAATCCTAGTGACGAACTTCAAAGTAGTAGACAAAGCCAAGAAATGCAGCAACGTCAACTGCAGTTTATTCCCACAAACTGTTTATTACCAGAAACTCTGTTCTTCAAATAATGCTATCACAAACACTTTTTTTTTTTTTTTTTTTTTTTTTAGGGGCATAAGGAAAGGAAGAAAGATGTGGGCCTTACCCTTCCCTTTGGAGGGGAAACCAAGGCAAGGAGAGCTCACAGACATTGCAAATGTCCTAGCTCCCCGCAACAGCGGGAAACGTGTTAAATAGCACTCTAAAGTCCAATTTGTTTTCTGCCAAGCAGATTTAGCACATGCAACGTAGCAGAGGTAAGAGAAAGGAGCAAAAGCTCTTTTTCCTGTTACACAGGACGTCTGTCCAATGAATCTTAGGAGGTCAGTGAGTGAGCGTTCAGGAGAGCCGGGGAACAGCCAGTGAGCCAAAGGATAATAAAGATCTATTACGTTACACAATCTTGAAAAACAGCAGAACGTAATTTGATTGTGAGGAAGGGCTAGGAGAAAAATACTTTTAATGGGGAATAACATGCAGATTCACGGTTGTGGAAAAAAAAACGTAGGGTTACGTTCTTCCATCGCAGTAAGAAAGAGAGATAAGCGGAGAATTCCCTGAGCATAAAAGAACACTCCTGGGAAAGGATTTAGCATAGATGTCTGCACAACACGCTGTGCCAGCCCTTTCCTGTCCCCAGGCTATGGGAAGGACAGCAGCCTTCACACTGTCTGGGACAGCAAGTGGAAGAGAGCTCCTTCTGCCCAAACTCCCACTAGCATAACGCTCTGTGAGCGTCAGAAACTTGATGTGTACTAAGGTCATCTGTGAATATTGAATGCAATATTATGGATTATTTTAAAAGTAATTCATATCAGTCACTTCACACAGCTTTAACCTGACCTTTAAAAGCAAAGAGAAAGCAACTCACGCATGCATCCACAGCTGGTACTAAAATATGAGGAGAATAATGTATTGCTGAATAGGCAATTAGACTCCTGGTAACCAGGAGAGAGAGGGGGCCAAAAAATCAGCAAGTTTTTTTTTTTTTTTAATAATTATTTTCAACTGCTTCCCTATTGTTATACTGAGGAGTTACATTCATCTAATATCTTGTCATACTCCTCTTTTCTCCACCGCATAAAACCATGCAACAGTACATCGACACCCTTGCCCATACAAAGGCAAGGAAGAAGTTACATTAGTATCACGGAGGCACTAAAAATAAGCTATTGAACTGCTTTTCAGATGGATGAATTCATGTTCTTTTCAACACTGCACTCACAGCTAGCCAAATTTGTACCTGTAGCTGACTGACACCCACACACTGAAAGATTTTATTACTACAAGTAGTAAACGCGTCCTCGTTTAGTAAGGCAAAATAGAAGGGAAAAAACGTTACAAATCAATTATGTAGATGTCTGAATGATAACTAGAGAAGGAAGAGTAAAACAGTAAGAAAACATCAACACAGGAAGCATGCCTCATGGATAACGTTCATGCCAGAATGGCAAGTCAGCACAGGATGGTAAGAGAGGCAAGTCTGCACAGGAGCTTAACTGAAAGCCAGAGTTAAAGGAGTGGGATATAGGCAGTTACTGGCACTGCAATTGCAACAAATTAAAAAACCCCCACAGAACTGAAAAATCCACACCCACCCACCACTGGATTTATCACAAAACTAAGCAAATGCAGGATGGAATCACTTTGCGGGGGGGGGGGGGGGGGGGGGGGGGCCCAAAACACAAACTAAACAAAACTCAAAAAACCTGCTTATACGTTACTCTAGGAGCACTCTGGGCTTGCTCTGAAGAAAATACTTACACATTTGAAAACTCCATTTGTAAACTTTGGGCAAACGATTATTCTGTTCTTTGAGATCAGATTCCTTCTCTCCATTTTTCCCACATTTTCCTGGAGATTGTGTTCTTGCAGGTGATTTGGTTTGGTGAGATTTCATGCCAGTTGAAACCGATTTTGCTGGCTGAGACTTGGACACACTTTCACCAGCAGATAGTTCTTCGCTATCACTGCTGTTTGCTGCAGAAACAAGAAAATGCATTATTATAAATCAACCATCTTTCTCAAACCAAAGTTCATCAGAAGCGGCCCCTGCACTGATTTTCAAATAAAAGGAGTTTGACTGAAACCCTTTTACCCTAAAACGACATAATTTACCCTGGCATAGAAACCTGGCACACGGCCCCTTTACCTCTCTAGCGCCCAAAGACAGGATCACAGAACAGGCAGCCATACAATGGGGATTCTCTAATTCCAGAGTTCTGTGAAAGGGAAACCTTGCACTGGTAACACTGTCCAGCTGGTTGCTGTGCAGATAGATTCATAGCTATGAAGTGGACTCATGGACATCAAAGTCCTAGAGCTAGAAAGTGGGTAAAAGGACTGTACTGTGGCTCCATTACCTGTCAGGGGCTCCACAACCTATTCTGAATGATGGCAGGTATATTGCTGAAAGTGCATATGAGTGTATGTCAGGGAAAAAAAATTAAATTCTTCCTTGAAGATTTCTGAATAAAATCTTACTACCCAAAGTCTGTAGAGGGAAGGCGAGTCCTACTCTCAGAACTGTTCAGACAGCACCACATACAGTTCTTTGGAAACATATTCATGAAGATGCTTTCTACATTAGAAAAACAACACAAAGAGGCTGTTTAATGTGATAGTGTAGGAACAAGTGTTATCCATGAATTTATGAATAATTTTTGCTTATGAGGCTAGACTTGCTTCTTTTTCCAAAAGAGTTAGCAAGTCTGATTGCTATATTAGAAATTAATAAGAAAAACAAAGATAAACAAGAGAAGGATATACCATTCAGCATATACAAACTTCTACCCGTGCTGCAGTTTTAAAGGTTACAGTTATAGATGAGCTTATCCTTGTACTCTCTTAGGCCATACGTAAGATAGAAGTGAGAGTAAGCAACTGACTTTTTTTTTTTTTTTTTTTAAATAACACCTCATGTCACCTTTGGTTACTTGAAGTCTTCAATGCTAAGGTAACTAGTAATGAGGTGAAATTTATATATCATTTACAAAAAACCCTCCTCAAGATACAATGTTCAAATTCTTCTTTTATTTGCAGAACATCTCCAGCTGACCCAAACCCAAAGAACTTCAGCTCACACTAAATCACTTTTATTATAAAGCAATAGAAACCTATATTCACTTCAGCCTAACTAAACTGTCCAAAGGAAAGTAACAAAACAATCACTCTAAAAAGATATGATTTATGATGAATGATCAAAAGGATCAAGATTGTTTAGCCTTACAAAAAACAAAACTGGGGTGGAGGAAGAGGTAATAGTTCAGCATAGGTCTAGTCAAGCAGTGAAAGAAAATGCCTAGAGAAGTTACAGAATCTCCATTATTAGAGTTTTTTCAAAAAGTGTGTTTGATGAACATTTAGTAAGAGAAAATTACGCCTCAGTTGTACATGCCCTAGGCATTGACAAGATGGACCCTCACAGTCCTGCTTGGTTCTGTTCCTTATGATTCAGTTACCTACACCAGAGAAGTTGCTAAACACGTTCTTTAGCAAGGAAGAACATCAAGATACATGTTGTAGAAAGGAACCCTGCTGGTCGCAGAGCTACAGTTGTCTGCTGTCTTAATGCAAAGAGACAAGAGCTGAAGCTGCGACACAAACAGCTTTAACTGATAGACCGGAATTTTGCAAAACTGCATGTTTCTGCTCACAACGGATTCCACATTTTCTTTTATTTATTTTTTGCCTTTATTACAGCAATGCTTAGAGCCTAACAAAAAGAGAGTCCATATACGCCAAACACTGCGCACAGTACAAGAAACAACCCTAGTCCTGAAGTGCTTACATCCTGACATAGGATCAGCCTGTAACGAGATACAGGCTGAGAAAAAGAGATAAATCCATAGAATCAAAGGGAGCAATGACAAAGCTAAAAATGGTGCATTAGTTCTGCAAATTCAGTTTGTTTTGTTACTTTAATTCCTGGGGTGAGGGAAGGAGAAAGGATTTTGTTAGGAAGAGATCAGTGAAACGGAATGAAAAAAGAAAGAAAGAACG